ATTATTTCGATCTGTTACAGAATCATCATCAGGCCAACTGATTAAAAAATAAGTATGAAGGCTCTTTATTATATATGTCATAGGAAAGCTATAGAATTCGTTGACATATAAAATGTTATACGAACGGTTATAGGTAAGTTTATATTTTATGAGGTCATCGAAAAACGGCCTTTAATAGGTTGACATGTTTCCAAATGAATAGTTCCTGTTCACCTTTTTTAAAAATTGTTAAAATTGATCCAAAACATTCCGCGATATGACCAAACAGTTACCCAGGATTTATGGGAGGCCCTTCATGTCGAATTTCACTCAGGCCGCCACATGTATTAAAAAAAGCTGAAACTCGAAATTAAGATGAAATTTGAAAATTCTAAAAGCGGCTAACATGTTACGAACACAAACACGTACAGTAATATAAGAGCATAATATAATATAATATAAGAATAATATAATATAAGAGCAGCGAAAGATCAACAATTCGAAGCTAATCAATGTTGCCGAAATAGATTTAATTTCTATGTAAGCTGAGAGTTATTATACTTGATAAAGAATGCATCCTTCTATATCTTTAAATAAGCTTTGTTATTCTCTCTATTATCTATTATAAATACATAATGAGGATTTTATACTTGATTGTAAAAAAAGTATTATCAATTATAATAATTTCTAGAATTTACACGAATTATTCCCAGAAATTACATTGCTTTAGTGCAGGACGGCGTTTATATAGCCGTCACAAACTAGCACAGGTATATAATAATAAAATAAATGGTCAACCTGCCAGAACCAGCAAAATATCAAACAATCTTATTATAGAGATGTTAAATCATCAAAGAGAAATCATTCGATTCGTTCTCTTCTTCGCTAAAGGACAACTTTTGACTTTCTACTTTTAAAACATTCTGAAAACGTCAAAACCGAGAAAATGGTGTTCAGGAAAGCACTATGTGTTACGCTACTTCTATCAGCGACAATTCTTGGTGAAAATCGAAGCCTGGAAAACGATTCCAATTCGAAAAAGAGAACAAAAGGTATGGACAACAAAAAGACGTAAATTTGAAAGGTTATAATTATTTCGATCTGTTACAAAATCATCATCAGGCCTACTGATTAAAAAATAAGTATAAACGCTCTTTATTATATATGTCATAGGAAAGCTATAGAATTCGTTGACATATAAAATGTTATACGAACGGTTATAGGTAAGTATATATTTTATGAGGTCATTGAAAAACGGCCTTTAGGTTGACACGTTTCCAAATGAATAGTTAATAATAATATGACTTTATTTAACGAGGCTAACATATATTATTGGTTTCCCAATAGTTTTCATTATGGGCCTCCTATCTACAATATATATATAAATACAATTTAGAAAAAATATATACTAAGATGTAGTCTCTATGCTAAAGTGTTGCAATTGAGCGTTCTCTAGTAGACGCTTCTGTTCTAATTTGTTCACAAATTGTTTGTGCGAGAACATGTCTCGGAGAGAGACTTCAACAGTGTTCAAGAGGCGATTTTTTAAAATTGTTCATCTTTTAAATTGTTCATCTTAAAATTGTTCATCTTTTTAAAAAGTGTTAAAATTGATCTAAAACATTCCGCGATATGACGAGACAGTTACCCAGGATTTATGGGAGGCCCTTCATGTCGAATTTCACTCAGGCCGCCACATGTATTAAAAAAAGCTGAAACTCGAAATTAAGATGAAATTTGAAAATTCTAAAAGCAGCTAACATGTTACGAACACAAACACAGTAATACAAGAGCATAATATAATATAAGAATAATATAATATAAGAGCAGCGAAAGATCAACAATTAGAAGCTGATCAATGTTGCCGAAATAGATTTAATTTCTCTGAAGCTATAAGGCCATATGTAAGCTGAGAGTTGTTATACTTGATATAGAATGCATCTTTCTATATCTTTAAATAAGCTTTATTATTCTCTCTATTATCTATTATAAATACATAATTAGGATTTTATACTCGATTGTAAGAAAATATTATCAATTATAATAATTTCAAGAATTTATAGGATTTATTTCTAGAAATTATATTGCTTTAGTGCAGCACAGCGTTTATAACTGTCACAAACTAGCACTGGAATATAATAATAAAATAAATGGTCAACCTGCCAGAGCCAACCAAATATCAAACAATCTTACTATAGAGATGTTAAATCATCAAAGAGAAATCATTCGATTCGTTCTCTTCTTCGCTAAAGGTCAACTTTTGACTTTCCTCTTTTAAAACATTCTGAAAGCGTCAAAACCGAGAAAATGGTGTTCAGGAAAGCACTATGTGTTACGCCACTTCTATCAGCGACAATTCTTGGTGAAAATCGAAGCCTGGAAAACGATTCCAATTCGAAAAAGAGTACAACAGATATGGACAACAAAAAGACGTAAATTTGAAAGGTTATAATTATTTCGATCTGTTACAGAATCATCATCAGGCCAACTGATTAAAAAATAAGTATGAAGGCTCTTTATTATATATGTCATAGGAAAGCTATAGAATTCGTTGACATATAAAATGTTATACGAACGGTTATAGGTAAGTTTATATTTTATGAGGTCATCGAAAAACGGCCTTTAATAGGTTGACATGTTTCCAAATGAATAGTTCCTGTTCACCTTTTTTAAAAATTGTTAAAATTGATCCAAAACATTCCGCGATATGACCAAACAGTTACCCAGGATTTATGAGAGGCCCTTCATGTCGAATTTCACTCAGGCCGCCACATGTATTAAAAAAAGCTGAAACTCGAAATTAAAATGAAATTTGAAAATTCTAAAAGCAGCTAACATGTTACGAACACAAACACAGTAATACAAGAGCATAATATAATATAAGAATAATATAATATAAGAGCAGCGAAAGATCAACAATTAGAAGCTGATCAATGTTGCCGAAATAGATTTAATTTCTCTGAAGCTATAAGGCCATATGTAAGCTGAGAGTTATTATACTTGATATAGAATGCATCTTTCTATTTCTTTAAATAAGCTTTATTATTCTCTCTATTATCTATTATAAATACATTATTAGGATTTTATACTTGATTGTAAGAAAATATTATCAATTATAATAATTTCAAGAATTTATAGGATTTATTTCTAGAAATTATATTGCTTTAGTGCAGCACAGCGTTTATAACTGTCACAAACTAGCACTGGAATATAATAATAAAATAAATGGTCAACCTGCCAGAGCCAACCAAATATCAAACAATCTTACTATAGAGATGTTAAATCATCAAAGAGAAATCATTCGATTCGTTCTCTTCTTCGCTAAAGGTCAACTTTTGACTTTCCTCTTTTAAAACATTCTGAAAACGTCAAAACCGAGAAAATGGTGTTCAGAAAAGCACTATGTGTTACGCTACTTCTATCAGCGACAATTCTTGGTGAAAATAGAAGCCTAGAAAACGATTCCAATTCGAAAAAGAGTACAACAGATATGGCCAACAAAAAGACGTAAATTTGAAAAGTTATAATTATTTCGATCTGTTACAGAATCATCATCAGGCCAACTGATTAGAAATTATAAGTATAAACGCTCTTTATTATATACCGGGTGACCCAAAAAAAAGTACTCCTGTTTGATTCGTAATAACTTCTAAACAAGTAAAGTTTTTAAAGAGAAATAACTTGCATTAAATAGAGGAAGGACTAACTTAGATTTTTATATATTACAGTTGTATTTAACTTAAAAATTCACGGATATATTAATGTTAAAAATGGGGAGCATATTTTGGAATGTGTCTAAAATTAGCGAAAATCGGCATATCAAATATTAACTCCAGCGTTTGTTTGCTTAATGACATATTAGGCTAACTTGTATTTCAGCGAATTATCGTTAAGGTTTGTAAGGGATATGGCGTAGATTTAGACATCTTACATGTAAGTCTTAGCTCATTGTTTCCTGAAATATGAACGTTCGAAATTATGCAAGTATTTAATATTAGGTCTTTGCAAACTTAAATGTACATGAAAGACTGACCATGGAAGGCAGGCGCTTAAATTTTTCGTATTCTTAAATAGCCTAATTTTTTTATGTTTTTAATGGGTTCAAACAGACTGAGTAGATTATTTCTCGGTTAGAGCAGGATGAATATTCTTTATTGAAGGAAATAATATTGCTTTTTGCAAATACACATCACCGTATCAACGCTACTATTTTGTTACGTTTTGTTCCAAAAATGTTGCATGTCTCTGGGGAGTTGCTTAATTGTTATGTCTTATGGAGTTGTATGGTTTGATTGTGTTTCATATAATTCTCAGTTTACTCCATGAACTTGCCAAGATTAAGAAACGGCAAAAGAGTTTGGGTGTTCTTAACAAGATTTCAGAACGTTGCAGAAGTTAGAAGAGCTTCACAATTCCGCTGTGACAGCATGCCCTAATTCAGAACTACGAACGATCCAATGACGATCCTTCGCGATGCAGTGGTCTCATGAAATAAGGAAACGTATTCGTGCTAGGAACACACGCGAATTTCGGACGAATGAATCTTGCTTGTATTTTGTAGATATAATAATACTTTGTTTCATAATAAACAATTTGTCAAGTGTCATTTATTTACTGGTAATAGTGCATGTTTCAGTCGGGCAAATCTTGATTAATATTTGATACGCCGATTTTTTGCATATTTCAGACACATCCAGAAATATCCTCCGGAATTTAAAGATTAATATCTCCGTGAATTTTTAAGTGAAATACAACTGTAATATATCAAAGTCTAAGTTAGTCCTTCCTCTATTTGATGCAAGTTATTTCTCTTTAAAAGCTATACTATACTTGTTTAGATGTTATTACGAATCAAACAGGAGTACTTTTTTTTGGGCCACCCGGTATGTCATAGGAAAGCTATAGAATTAGTTGACATATAAAATGTTATACGAACGGTTATAGGTAAGTATATATTTTATGAGGTCATTGAAAAACGGCGTTTAGGTTTACATGTTTCCAATTGAACAGCTCAACAGCTGGCCTCTGTAGCTCAGTTGGTTAGAGCGCTGCTCCGGAATCGCAGGGCCGTAGGATCGATTCCTACCAGAGGACCTTGTGCTGCATTTTTCGCAGTCGTTCCTAGTTAGGTCTTAAAATGTATATATTCTCACTTGGATTACAAACCCTAACATCCTAATATTAATTACATGCACCAAGTGAAGTGCAGCACTAAGTTATTCAAGTCCACCTTATCACAACCCGTACACCCGATTACCTATATATACATGAACTTACAGTTACAGCTCAACAGCTGGCCTCTGTAGCTCAGTTGGTTAGAGCGCTGCTCCGGAATCACAGGGCCGTATAGGTTCGATTCCTACCAGAGGAACTTGTGCTGCATTTTTCGCAGTCGTTCCTGGTTAGGTCTTAAAATGTATATATTCTCACTTGGATTACAAACCCTAACATCCTAATATTAATTCCACCAAGTGAAGTGCAGCACTAAGTTATTATAGTTCCTTTTCACCTTTTTTAAAAATTGTTGAAATTGATTTAAAACATTCCGCGATATGACGAGACAGTTATACCCAGGATTTATGGGAGGCCCTTCATGTCGAATTTCACTCAGGCCGCCACATGTATTAAAAAAAGCTGAAACTCGAAATTAAGATGAAATTTGAAAATTCTAAAAGCGGCTAACATGTTACGAACACAAACACGTACAGTAATACAAGAGCATATATAATATAATATAAGAATAATATAATATAAGAGCAGCGAAAGATCAACAATTCGAAGCTTATCAATGTTGCCGAAATAGATTTAATTTCTCTGAAGCTATAAGGCCATATGTAAGCTGAGAGTTATTATATACTTGATATAGAATGCATCTTTCTATATCTTTATACATAAGCTTTATTATTCTCTCTATTATCTATTATAAATACATAATGAAGATTTTATACTTGATTGTAGGAAAATATTATCAATTATAATAATTTATAGAATTTATAGGATTTATTCCCAGAAATTATATTGCTTTAGTGCAGCACAGCATTTATAGCTGTCACAAACTGGCACTGGTATATAATATTAAAATAAATGGTCAACCTGCCAGAACCAGCCAAATATCAAACAATCTTATACATAGAGATGTTAAATCATCAAAGAGAAATCATTCGATTCGTTCTCTTCTTCGCTAAAGGACAACTTTTGACTTTCCACTTTTAAAACATTCTGAAAACGTCAAAACCGGGAAAATGGTATTCAGAAAAGAACTATGTGTTACACTACTTCTATCAGCGACAATTCTTGGTGAAAATCGAAGCCTGGAAAACGATTCCAATTCGAAAAAGAGAACAGCAGGTATGGACCACAAACACACGCAAATTTAGAAGGTTATAATCAGTGGCGTAGCCAGTCCGACGATTTGGTCCCGCTACGCAAATTTCAACTTATTATCATTATTCATTCCAAAAGCTAGAAGTTGATATATGAATTATTACATTACGAACGGTTATAAGTAAATATAAATTTAAGATCCGATAGGTTGTAACAGTAGCTCAATTAATGACGTCTTGCGTAAGAGCAGAAAGATAAATGACAACAATTAAGGTTTAATTCCTTTGAAGGTTTAAGACCGTAATTAAGCTGAGAGGTACATTTGACATAGAATTAATAAGCAATTATTGGATTCTGCTTTCGCATGATATCAAGAATTATTCAGACCGAGGTCAATGTTATCTGCCGAAGCGAAGCTGAGGCGGATAACATAGACCGAGGTCTGAATAATTCTTGATATCATGCGAAAGCAGAATCCAATAATTGTTTTATTATACATTTAAAGACATGAGAAACGTATAGGACGATTCCTGTTCATGAGGTAGGAAAAGTACAATTTGAATATCAAATACCTTGCACAAAGTCAAAGGTCAGCTAAATATTATATTTCTACTTCTATTTACCCCATTGCGGCTTTTTTCGTGCTTTCACTATCCTTATCTGCCAATAATTTGGAGAGTTCACTTTCATTCAGCGAAGCAAACCTGCTGTCGGCCATTGTTTTTTTTTCCCGCGCTTATAGGTTCAAGCTTTTGGCCGCGCAAGGGTTTGGGCACGAGAGAGTCCAATAATTTTTTTTTTGATGCAAGTTCGATCCAAAAAAACAATTATTGGACGCTGATGACGTCATCGGCGGAAAATACGTAATAAATGCCGAATACTGAAAATTAGCCGGTGCGTTCTGACCAATTAGAAACGACTCAAACGAGAATACATATTAAATGTATAATAATGCATCTTTCTCTATCTTTATATACGTTTTATTATTCTCTCTATGTTGTAGAATAATTAGGATGCTTGATTGTAAGAAAATATTCAGCGAGCACGGCGTCTATGACTGTATCATATTTCTTCAAATAAATACTGCTTTTGATGTACAACCTAGCTAGTTTATCCTGATGATGACTGAAATATAGTCGAAACGTAGATAAATATAAAAGTGTTATCGATCTTTGGAGTTACACTTGTTTTGTATTGTGCAAAAGAAAATTGTTCGATCAATTAGTTTTAAATCCTTTATGAAACATTCAAAACTACTATTTTTGGATTTGAAATGTTGACCATATACTAATCAATGATTATCTACGTAGTTTATTCATGTATCGTCGCAATTATTGCCAAAATTTACTTGACTTTCATAATGATTACTTTCAAACAAAAGAACGATGTACACAACTATATTACGCGAAATTCTGCCAAGTCACACGTGAGCTATAAACGAACAAACTACCGTAAATATACTGTATTTAACAAAGGAATTCCTTTATAAAATTTGCTTGATGACGAAATTAAAAATACTAAAACATGTTTTTCTTTTAAGAGAAAAGCAAAATACCATTACTTATTATTTAATTAATGTAAATAAAAATCTTTGCATTAGCTTTAGGAACGCTAATGATAGTAATGTACTATTTATTTCCTAGCACTTTTTCATCATCCAATTTGTTGTAAATAGCTTCTGCTTGTATATAATTTCTTTTATCACTTAGGCCTGTATTCTAAAAGCTCATTCACACTCAATGAGTAGAGGTTCAATCTGAGCTTCCCTTGAGTTCCGTACCGTACTGTGTGACTACTCTCCGTCCAGCTATTCAAACACACAAGGGAAGCTCAGAGCGAACCTTCCAAAAGTCCCTAGCCCAATATACTATTGTAATTATTTTTTACTACACGTAAATATTTTGTGAGTAAATTTAAAAAAAATAAATAAATAAATAACTTTTTCTCATTCTTGGTGATCTAAATTGCAACATACTCAAACCCGAACCAGATTGTAAGGTACTCCAAGAATTCACGACTGAATTTAATTTAACAAATGTCATCAATAGGCCAAACGTGTAACAGTAACAATGATATTTGCAATTCCTTGGATTTAGTTGAATTAATTTTGTTTTCCGCGGAAAGTAACTTGTTCTATAGTCATATTCTCATGCATAAAGATTTAAATTACTTGACAACTGCTATTAATGCTGAATTGAACAAGTTATCCGTCTTGTTTCAGACCATAATTGCCTGCCAATGTAAAAAAGTCAAAATTTGTGTTATTTAAGTCTAGGCAAAAGATGCCATTACCTGCATGATGTGCGTCTATAATAATTAATGATTGGAAAATTGATCAGGTAGAGGGGGTAGTGTTTATTCTGGGCGTTATATATAGCTACTCAACCAACATGCACCTGACCTGAAAATCACACATTTCACATATTGCCTACAAAATTTCTGGTATTAACGTATCGTACTGTTACAAAAACGTGCATGCGATGCATGGCTAGAGTTGCCTTCGATGATCATACTTGAACTAACCTGAAGTTCAGGCCCTAATTTGAAATAGGGCCTGACACAAAACCTGTCTAGACCGTGGGACGCCCACATGTTATTTTTAGACACAACATGCAATATGATTGACAAGTGTTGTAGATTTCGTTACACAAAAAAATTATATTCTCATGATTCATGAACATGTCCGCAGAGTGTGCATTTTGCTTTTTAATTAAACTTAAAAATTCAAGGTACTTTTATATAATTAAGAGTCAGTTTCTCTATTTAACCGAACAGGCGAACAGCAAACAAAGATTTAATTAGTCAGTTCTGTGCACGGCTTGACCGCCAAGCTTTCTCAAGGTCTCAACTTGCTGGACGCGGATATACTCTAACGACTAATGTCACTAACGGGCTAATATTAAACAGCAACAATTAAATTCTCAATCATACCACGAAGAAGGCGATGTAGCTCAGAAAACAATTACGCCGGTAGGACCTGATATTAAAAATAAGACCTTTGCCGGCGAAGCAAGTTGGCAGAACATCTTGGCTGTCAACAACAAGCTTTCGAATACACGACTAGTTTGGCTGTTCTTTCAGCGTCGTGTGTGTCCAAATT